AGACATATTGATAGGTTTTCAGGAGTGTTTTAAATGATGACATTTAAAAAATATCATAACAAATTGCCTAGTGAATCATTATTAGGTTTGAAATGACTATTAGTTATATTGATTTCTTAGAAAATTCATTATTCCAAATTTTTTGGTATTTTCTCTCCTCGTTTCTATAAAATAAAAATATGAATATTATTTCAATATACGTGTAGTAAGGACAAATCAGATGATTTGCCCCAAAATGTCACTGCGTTTAAAGAATTTTCCTATCAGAGAGCCTAAAAGAAAAATTCACTAGCTTGTCAGTGACAATTTGTATTGAAAAAATTTTTGGAGAAGGGAAATAAAGGTATATAGAAAGAATATCAAATTTTCACTTATCTTTGGACGTTTCGGGACCGGTTCTGCTCCCGTTTTCAACATAAGAAGAGATTATTTCAATAGCGAAGTCGTATAATGTCTTGAAGCTTTTCAGTTTTCAATGACAATTGGTGACGTTGGCAATCAAATGAGTTACAGGATGTTTTCATTAATTGATCTTGAATTTACCATTTTCATGTTCAGATTTTAGTAGTGAATACCATGTTCTGTCTATATCAACTGAACAAGAAGCAATGTTATTGTCTCCGTTCAGAAGAATGCAAGCAAGCAGATTCCTTGATTTTTCTCTTCTGGTTGTTATCTTCTTTTCCAATAATTTTAATATTATTCCACTCTGCCATATGTTGTCCGTCTTCAGTAAGGATATGTTCAGCTAGTTTAAACTAGCTGAACATATGGCAGAGTGGAATAATATTAAAATTATTGGAAAAGAAGATAACAACCAGAAGAGAAAAATCAAGGAATCTGCTTGCATTCTTCTGAACGGAGACAATAACATTGCTTCTTGTTCAGTTGATATAGACAGAACATGGTATTCACTACTAAAATCTGAACATGAAAATGGTAAATTCAAGATCAATTAATGAAAACATCCTGTAACTCATTTGATTGCCAACGTCACCAATTGTCATTGAAAACTGAAAAGCTTCAAGACATTATACGACTTCGCTATTGAAATAATCTCTTCTTATGTTGAAAACGGGAGCAGAACCGGTCCCGAAACGTCCAAAGATAAGTGAAAATTTGATATTCTTTCTATATACCTTTATTTCCCTTCTCCAAAAATTTTTTCAATACAAATTGTCACTGACAAGCTAGTGAATTTTTCTTTTAGGCTCTCTGATAGGAAAATTCTTTAAACGCAGTGACATTTTGGGGCAAATCATCTGATTTGTCCTTACTACACGTATATTGAAATAATATTCATATTTTTATTTTAAAGAAAGGAGGAGAGAAAATCCCAAAAAATTTGGAATAATGAATACACCACCTCCTCGATTAACCTACAGACAGTATTCTTAGAAAATGTTTATAGAAATGATTTACTCCAAAACCAAACAATTCAATTGATAATTGGCGCTTAAGAATTTCCTTTCGTGCACTCCAAGAGATAAAAAAAATTACTCAAAGTTAAATGTCTAATGAAACAAACTAACAAATTTGAAAGCAAGAAAACCTAATAGTGAATTATGAAATGTATCCTAATCAGATTTCCTATAATTAATTCAAGTGGAAGGCATATTTAATTTTTATCTTTCAGGAACACATCTTCTAAAGGGCTTTCACGCTGGGTTTATAGTGACGTCAATATGTCAACACATACAGTGTTGCCAGTTGGAAGGAAATGACTGAACGACCAACTGCCCGAATATGGATATGTCTAGTGTTACGATCGTCGGACGTTATGTTTTTTGGAACCAACTCAAAAGCCGTCCATTTATGTTTCAAAATCAGCAATTGAAGTAGATAAATGAACTTCAATATTTTTGTATTTAATGAACCATGCACCTAAACAATATACTGAATATTAAATTTATTGATAATGAAATCCTTATGAAGAATAATAACTTGAAGAATGATTTATTATATAACAATTTTTTTTTGATAAAACTGATCAGTATTCACATTTCCTGAGTGAAAATAATAAAAACTTCAATTTTGAGGTTATCTAATCGTTCTGAATGTTTTTCAATCACTATAAATTGGTGAAATGAAATAGAAATTCGATCAATTGATTTCATTTCGTGGGAAAATAAATAGTGGTGCATCTACTTATATTGGAAATTATGAAATAGACAACAAGAGTTGTTCTTACTCCAATATTCTCAATATAATTTATGAGGAAAACCCACAAAAACTCATAAAACCACCATGTCATTACAATAAACTAACACAAATCATATTCGGATCATTCGGACAACACAAAATAGCATTATTAATACCATCATTCAACTTACATCTCTCACTCTCACAGCAGTCATTGGAAGTAATAGACCATCTTCTGCGCTTAGGCACTCAATGGTTTAGGCATTGTGAATAAATCGAATTTCACCTATGATCCACAAATAAATCACAAACAATTCCTTGAAAGGACAAATTGTCAGTAATGAATAATTTGCAGAGATCAGCTGATCACAACAAATCGCTTCTGGAAATGTCAAATAAATCTGGCATCGGTGTACAGTTTTGCCAACTTAAATCGATAACGCGGTTTGCCCATTTCGAAAGTTACTAGTATTTTTCAATGTGCAGTTTGGCAAGACATTGTTACCAAGTATTGCGCAACTATCAACCCAGCGTGAAAGCCCTTTAGTAACACGTAAAGCACATAAAGCTGATTTGGCTAATATGCCATTTCCTTTATATCTAAACAATGCAAAATGAGTTAATACAATAATCTTTAAGTAGTTATGTATGTCATATCAGATGGATTAACCAACAAAATTGTAGAAAATAATGATAAATAAAATATTGGTAGTTCATTTAATATTGGAGCAGACTTATTTCACTATGGTAGGAAAATGTGAATTTCTTTATTGTTTGAGCAGAAACATCAAATTATAAGTACCCAGCTAAATTATCAGAATGCTATGAAACTTGGACAGATAGATGCAGAAAAAACGGGCTTTTTAGTCATGTTTATAACTCATTTTTCTTTGGGGTGGCACTTTAGACCTTTCATCATTCCAGTGACGATATCATTTTGCATCTCAGCAATATGAAAAGAACTGCAATATTAGATAATAGATCATCACAATAATTATCTATACCATAGGTAAAACCAGTTGCCACCCACCATTTATTGCATCATCTTGCATTTCAAATATGAAGTTATCAATAACCTGTTAATGAAAGTTTTTGGGAGGTTCTTGGTATGACATACTACTTATCAAAAAAAAGTATTCCTAATGGTTTTATGATGATATACTGAAAGAACAATCACTGATAGTATTTTTTTTGTACCAAAACACTAATGTAAGATTATTTTCCTGATACCAGCAATAGCAATACAATCCACAGATTTATTATTAAAATTAAATTGAAATCTACAATATCTGACTCAAATTTGAGCACAAATTATTGAAATAAATTTTATTTTTGAAAAAAATTGCAATGGTGAGTAAAACATACTTATATGAAGTTGGTACTGACTTTTATGAAAAACTGAATTTTTATCGGAGTTCTGGGTAGATAGGATAGAGTTCTGGAGTTCCTGACAAAAAATTTCTAGTTCTGGTTAATTGTAGAAAATAACCAAAAAACAAAATTGTGGGTGCTAACTTCACTCGGCGCCGCTATTTTCACAGAAAAGAGTTCTGATGAGAAATTTCCACATATTTGAAAGAGTTCTGAAATTCCTGATATATTTCAACGATAGTTCCGGCGAAATAACAAAATTATTCCTATTTTTAATAGTGAGATTCATAGACTCATGTAGCATCCACCACTTTCTTAAGTTCGAATCAGAGTTCTGGGTAGCACCAGTAGAGTTCCACATACTATCTAGGTAACTTTTTTCTCTAAAATCGAAAATTTACTTTTCATGAGCGAAAACAAGGGACCGACTGAAAAAAATGTTTTGTGAACGATTTGGAGAGGAGATAATAGAGGACTTCTGATTGGAATTCTGGGTAGCACCAGTTGAGTTTTACACACGATCTTGATAACTTTTTTCTTTAAAATCAAAATGTTTGTTTTTATAAGAGGAAGAGAGGAACCAATTGAAAACAAATATGTTTTGTGAACGATTTGGAATGGAGAGACAATAGAGGAGTTCTGATCGGAGTTCTGGGTAGCACCAGCCAAGTTCTACATACTACCTAGATAAGTTTTTTCTCTAAAATCAAAACTCCAGTTATAATAAGCGAATCTACGTAGTATGTATGCATATGTAGAACTCCACTGGTGCTACCCAGAACTCCGATCAGAACTCCTCTATTGTCTCTCCTTTCCAAATAGGTCACAAAACACTTTCTTTTTTCAATGGGTCTCTTGTTTTGGCTTATAAAAACTAGTTTGGATTTTAGAGAAAAAATTTATCAAGATAGTAATGAGAACTCCACTGGTGTTATCCAGAACTCCGATCAGAACTCCTCTATTGTCTCTCCTTTCCAAATCTTTCACAAAACTTTTTTTTCAGTTGGTCCCTCGTTTCTGCTTATAAAAACTAAAGTTTTGATTTTAGAGAAAAAAGTTACCTAGATAGTATGTGGAACTCGACTGGTGCTACTCAAAACTCCGATCCGAACTTTAGAAAGTGGTGGATGCTACATGAGCGGTTGCAAGTCCCTATTAAAAATAGGAATAACTTGGTTATTTCGCCGGAACTATTGTTAAAATATAGCAGGAACTCCAGAACTCTTTCAAATAAGTTGAAATTTCTCATCAGAACTCTTTTCTGTGAAAAAAGCAGTGCTGTGTGAAGTTCTCACCCACAATTTTGTTTTTGGGTTATTTTTTACAATTAACCAGAACTATTGAAATTTTCTGTCAGGAACTCCAGAACTCTATCATATCTACCCAGAACTCTGATGAAAATTCAGTTTTTCAAAAAAGTCAGCACCAACTTCACATAAGTGTAAAACATTGCTTATGGTGTAATATTGAGTACTCAAAGTTCTTACCAAGAATAGCATTCATACTGTAGAACATGATTCCAAATAAACTGTTGGGCTTGTACAGAGGTGAATCCTTTCCAAATACACCAAATCCTTTTCCATACCTATAAATACAGATAGGTAAAATGGTGCAATTGAAAGCTGACCAGAAAACATTATTTATCTCAGGTAGATAATGAATGAGGATATTTTCACTATTACCTTCAGATTCATTATGACCATTAGGACAAAATCATACAAAACTTACTCAGATTTGAAAGCCTTGGAACAACTGACATGGGCATTTATATCACACATTGGAGCATATGTATCATCTTGCTCAACTTGAATTTCGATGATATAAGCATACAGGGACAATCCTAGTCCCACCAAACATGTTAGGGTTAGCAGAGAATTAACTCGAGGTAAAGAAAGAATCCACATAATGATTTGATATTGCTTATAAGAAAGTTAACTTGACTGTCGTCTGCTCTTAGCTCAGACTGATAAGATGATCGAACACTGAACTATGAACTCTGTTGAATGTAGAATATTCTGATTATTAACATTATTTAGGGAACATTAAAATCCCATTAAAATAAAATCAAATCCAACTTTGACATAAACATAACCAGAAACCTGAGGTCTCTACTGTGCGCAGTGTTCGGCTCGGGCCAGCAAGAGCTATGTGAACATTGTGAACTGCCAAGCGGCAGCCAGCTGCCAAATTTTCTGGCAGCTACGATTTCCGATGATACCCGAGAGTCCAGTGGTGCCTGATCTCAAATTAAAAAGTACCGTGGCTGATGGTAGAGTCCCTGTATATACCTTAGCGACAAGAGTCCGGACACAGCTATACTTCTGTCCTTTCTGTTTCCTAAAAACGCATGATTGATGATTGAATAAAGGAATAAGACATATGTATATGTATATCGAGCTCTGTCTTTTCAATTCCCCTAGTATTTGTCAAACCGTTCATAGCCGTATGTAGAAGTGGGAAATAGGACTATTTTAACTAGAATAACATCGGAATAACTATTAGATTTTCAAATAATAAACAACAGGGTGTTCAAATTTCGAATCGATAATTTTCATAATCAATTCCTGGGGTGGCTATTACAAATTTTTGTCATCAGAGATTTCTTCACTTCATTAGATACAAGAAAGATAATTCGGGTTTATTTCTACGTGGTATCACATATAGCCAAGAAAATATAGTTGTTTTCTGTTGGGTTATAAAAAAATAGAAGATATATACAGGGTGTCCGCTAAAAGTAGGTCAATCCATTAACCACATATTCCTTGAACAAAAACAATATAAGTTTCTAGATATCATTTTTCATTTTAGCCATTCATATTCGGTATACAGGGTGTCAAGGTTGGAAATAAAAAACTGTTTTCTTCTAATTACTCGCGTATTTGATAAGATATTAATCTCAAAATTGGTACATTACTTCAGCACAAAGAGTTACATCGTGTGAGGAAAACAAAACAGAAAATGACTGTCAAATATTCAAGATACTGGGGGTCAAGTTCACACTTACCCCCATATTTTGTTTGTACGTGCGCTAATGACTTCCTATCTATTTTCCTTCAAGTGTTCAATCATTTTTGAGTATTTTTTGTTTCTTGTAAAATTTCGATTGAATCATTTGTTTTTAAGATAATTCGAAAAGTACTGGTTATTGTTTGATGCCTATGCGGCTTAGGTAATCTCATGATGTTCACATACTCCTATTTATTTCGTCGAAATTGAAAGAGGGCGTATCTTTTTACGTACGAAAAGGTAAATATGGAAATACCGGGTGCTCGGAGCAAATGTACTAAAATAATTTTTACAAAAAAAAAAAATTAAAAATTGTAAAAATTATTTTAATACATTCGCTCTGAGCACCCGGTATTTCCATATTCACCTTTCCGTACGTAATAAGATACGCCCTCTTCCAATTTCGACGAAATAAATAGGAGTATGTGAACATTATGAGATTACCGTAAGCCACAAGGCATCAAACAATAACCAGTACTTTTCGAATTATCTTAAAAACAAATAATTTTATCGGAATTTTACAGAAATCAAAAAATACTCAAAAATGATTGAACACATGAAGAAAAATAGATAGGAAGTCATTAGCGCACGTACAAAAAAAATATGGGGGTAAGTGTGTACTTGACCCCCAGTATTTTGAATATTTGACAGTTATTTTCTGTTTTGTTTTCCTCACACGATGTAACTCTTTGTGCTGAAGTAATGTACCTATTTTGAGATCAATATCTTATTAATTACGCGAGTAATTAGAAAAAAACAGTTTTCAATTTTCAACTTTGACACCCTGTATATCGAATAAGAAGGGCTAAAATGAAAAATGGTATTTAGAAACTCATATTATTTTTGTTCAAGGAATATATGGTTGATGGATTGACCTCCTTTTAGCGGACACCCTGTATATACAAACATGAAATTCTATATAAAATTAGCACAAAAAGGAAACATATAGATGTATGAATAAAATGAAATGATTTGACAAAAAATGTCATAGATGATGGTTGACTAATTTGAAGATGTTGAATACAGAGTGAGATGAATACTGATATATATAAAAATACTGATATATAAAAAAAATTTTTGTAGATTATATATAAAACATGAATCATTCAAGGAGGACGAGTTGATTTTTTATCTTTTTGTTTCTTTAAAAGGAATGTATAAATATGGTACTAAGATCGTTGATGTCTGTTCTTTTGTTCATCGTTTTATCATTTCCATTAATATGTACCATTTCAAGAAAGAGGCGTTTAATATAATAATAATAATATAATATTTCAATATTATTGTTTCATTCGATGTTTTCAGTTAGTCTTGATAAAGAAAATAAAAATTTTTGAAAGCTCGACGACAAATAACGAAGAAATTTAATTGATTCATTGGTCCAGACTGCATCCCACTAATATTTCCAAGAATATAATTGTATCAATATAGATAGATAGATAGATTTTATTAATCCTTTGTGCTACAACATGTATAGACAGGACAAGTCACACATAATGGTGAAGGGTACAAAGCAACAATTTAAAAAATAAACAAATATAAGTATTTACATAGAAAGACATATAATTTTCTCCGATTCTCTCAATTCAATTACACTCAGCAGAAATGAAAGTGACAAAATAAAAACAACAATATATATACCTATATGCCTCATAAACATTGATTTTTATATTTATCTAACATTAGGGACAATGACCCAGTAAACACAACACGTTTCAGAAACATTTCAAAAGTTCCCTAATACGTGCCATCTGAAACATTACAATGTCAACATAAAGGAAACATTTCTGGAGTTCTCCATGCTATGTGAAATATTTCAGAAATATTTCAGAAATATGTCAATACATACGTCTCATATTCGTTACAAAAACTCTTTGCTTGAAATGTCTCACGTTAATCTCTAGATGTGTCATCTGGAACATTCCAATGTTAACATGAAGAACACATTTCTGAAGCTCTCCATGCTATGTGAAATATTTCAGAAATATGTCAATACATACGTTTCACATTCGTTACAAAAAATCTCTGCTTGAAATGTCTCACGTGAATCTCTAGACGCGTCATCTGAAACATTTCAATGTTAACATAAAGGAAAAATTCCTGAAGCTCTCCATGCTATATGAAATATTTCAGAAATATGTCACTACATACGTTTCATATTCGTTACAAAAAATCTCTGCTTGAAATGTCTTACGTGAATCTCTAGACGCGTCATCTGAAACATTTCAATGTTAACATAAAGGAAAAATTTCTGAAACCCTCCATGCTATGTGAAATATTTCAGAAATATGTCACTACATACGTTTCATATTCGTTACTATAATTCTCTACTTGAAATGTCTCACGTGAATCTCTAGACGTGTCATCTGAAGCATCACCATGTTTACGTATGTGAAATATTTCTCAGTTGTTATGCGTGACGTGAAACATCTCTGGAATGTTTCAATACATGTGTTTACTATTTGTTTGAAATGCATCATAGTCGACGTTGCCAGGTTCATGATTTCGTTTTATTGGCTATAATGAATCACATGCTTGAGTGTGTGACCAATTAATAATAATAATAATTGATATTGCCTAATGGTGGTAGTGCTAATGTTAAAAGTTAATAATTACAACTACGAATATTAAATAGGTGAGTGGGTGAGTGGATCAAATGAATCTCAAAATTTTTTCAGGTGCTGTCAGAAAAAGGTTTGCTGTGACGGACGTGGAGTTCGAAAGATATGTAGCAGTCTGGTTCCGCCAATCTGGTCTCAGGTAAGCTATAGAGAAAGGGAAAATATGAAATGAAATGGTTTTTCATTATAATTTAATGAGTTTTCATAATATAAAATCCACTAAAGCTGCAGTTTTATTTTATTCCCCCTGCTTTTTTCTCTATATACCTATATATTAATACCAATTGACTACATTACACATGATGTTAATTAGGGTTCACTCTCATTATGAGTAAGTGATTAACTTCTGTGGTATTATAGTCTTGGTATGAACTAAAAATGGTTTCATATTTGAAATCTTCGATTATCAGCAGAAGTGAGATGTATCGGAAATGTTTCAAAAAAGTCATGTTGGAAATGTTGCAAATAGTGCAATAAGGAAATGTTTCTAAGACACTATTTGTGAAACGTTTCATGAAATGCATAGTAAAATATCTCAGAGATGTTTATGTATACTATCTTTATTGAATGTTTCATGGAGTTTTGTGTTGAAACATTTCAATGAAACATTACACACCCTAGGTCATTTATGGTCTCTGGAATGTCTCATAAATGTTTCGGAGTATATAGGTGAAATGTTTCATATTTCACAAAGTTTGTTTCAGGAACGTTTCAGAAACACAAAATGGTTTACTGGGAGATGTCAAAGATCCAATCGATAAACTATATTATACACACCTAATAACTATACTTATATTAAACTGATGGTACAGTCGTCTTCAGAGATCATGTCGCACATGGACGGTGTCAGCTCCCTTGATCACCGCTGCAATAAGAGCGCTCATACCGTCCAACTGCGACATGTTCGTTGAAGACGACTGTACATATACTATATAGTAGATATAATGGAAATCATAATTGCAAGATTCTTAAGATCATTATCTAGGTACCTATACCATCTAGGATTCTTCCGATGGTGACAAGGTTCCCTTACGTACATCTGAATTAAAAACACCGTGGACTAAAATGACATAGCACATTGCAATTTCTCTAAATCTTCTAGTTTTGATTCCAAAATTTAAATTTCTTTTAGTATCATCCCATTATCATTTTCTTTTTCTGCGATCGTATCATTCAGTAAGTCCCAATACGATGACGACGGAATACTCTTTTGAACGTCTCTATTTTATAAATTGACGGCACAGCAAACTTCTTCAATTTGAAATCCATCAGCTTGAAAGAATGTTTATCAAAATGGGCCCAGAATTCCTCTTTTTTGTACTGTTTTTGCAAGTAAATTTGAATATTTACCTCACATATTGCGGATTTCTTGAAATTAATTTTCCATTCAGGTCATTTCATCGCATTCTTCCATGACATTATCTTTAAAGGATAATGCGGAGAATTGAATAACTTGAAACCCTTTTCTAATGAATTATCGCAATAATGTAAGATGTATATAAGCATAATTTAAAATGATGAATTTTTGCGGTCGTAAAATTTCAAAGTGACAGTGACAGAAATTCGAAAAAATTTAAAAAAGCGGGTGGGACCAGGTCAATTCGTCACATTGTCAGGTGGGCAAACCAAATGAAACAAAATATTAAAAACCCCAACGGCTGTCAGTTTTGTGTCCGGACTCTTGTCTAAGGTATATATAGGTACAGGGACTCTAGCTGATGGCAGCCCAGAGATGCTGAATCTTGCATAATTATATGAAAAAATAAGTTATATCTCGAATTCACTGTTATTGATCTATCTATTGTCAAGAAGCAGGGCAAATTCATCTGGAATAACATCACTCAAACTCTCATGGATAGTACTATATAACGGTTTCGCGTAAGCGTAATTAATATGGCTATATACAAGGGACCATCTTAAGCGTAATATTATATCAATCAACGCTGTTTCACAAACACTTTAGCGAGTGAGAGGAGACGAGGAACTGTCTGTACCCTGTTAATTAATTCCAATGAACACTATAATATAAACACCCTGGTTCTCTATTCCACTTTATGTCATCCTGACAGCATCATGATAGGAAGTTGTTGTTTGAATGAGGATTGAGGGCTAACATTATTTATTGTCCACCAAACGGCGCCACCGGAAAATGAGGTCAGGGTTGGTAGAACTGAAGAAAATATTTTTAATTTTTGTGTCATTTGGCCATTTTCTTGTCGTAGAGTTCCACATTGAGAGTGAAGAAAAAACGAATATTCTCGATGAAGAGGCCATAGAGCCTCTAGGGCTATACGGCAAAATTTTGGGATTTATGACTTTGACGTTGACCCCATATGTTTTAGAAGCGCCAACTAGTGAGACTGAAAATGTTAGCTCCCCTTGATGGTATAAATCATATCTCCTCTGCATCATATACATTTTTATGGCAATTCAAACAATAATGAAAATCAGCACAAGATCTATAACAATGAATTCGAGAAATAACTTATCATCTGACTGCCATCAGTCAGGATACTTTTTAATTTGACATCGGACGCCACTGGACTCTCGGGTATCATCGGAAATCGTAGCTGCAAGAAAATCTAGCGGCTCGTTGCCGATGCCACCTGGCAGCCAAGTTCACAAAGCTGTCAACAAGTCATGTGGAAGTGACATATTTCTTGTGATTTTGATTTGAGATTTTAGGGATCGTCTTCCTAGATTATAAAAAATGCCTGTTTGTGGCCCTAAATTATCCCTTTGTGGCCTTATCATTAGCACCTGGGGTATCATCCAATTGGTGAGTCATAAAATTACTGGTGTACCTATTTTCATTTTAACTTTCATAGGCTTTGATGGGTATCTTTTACTACATTGGTGCAGTTGCTCTAGCAGAAGATATTCCTGAAGTAGAATTCCATGGAAATCTTGACCAATTTTACACAAGTGTTGATAAAGGTTTCCAGCAGGTGAATATCCTATATATTAAGGCATGATCCAATGTATTAGACAGTATTAGATGAGAAGAGATGAATCTCCTGATTTTCTAATATATAAAAACCTACAGGTTTATTTGGAGCTTAATTTTTTCATGAATTGATGTTTTGCATGCATAATCTAATTTCAGTAGGATGTCCTGAAAATAATCTGAAGCAATCTTATTTACTTACACTGTTTCTGCTCATACAAAAAAAATATATTTGAATTATTGTTTAAGTAAGTTTTTAAATGTAGTCACAGATTACTACTTAGGCAATATTCAGCATTGAACACAAACTTTTTCTAATTGAGCCAATTCTGATTCTACTATTGATACTGAGATTGAAACCTGCTCCTATTAGAGTGAACTATTACCACATATCACCATAATTATAATATGAGATTACTTGTGTTTAACATGCATGCAGTAATAGATTTATATAGACCATTGCAATTTTCATGACAATTTCAAAAAATTCTACATTTTGATTTGCTCCAAGTTGCCAACCTAAAAAGCTCTACCAATATAGAAGTAATATTTTGAAAAGTTGAGCTATATTTTGATGAAATCTACTCAGCTCTCTAATAGAAGTGATTCAGAAAAATAGTTTGCTCTTGTGAACTCCTCTTCTGATTAGTTGAGAGTCATGCTTTCATTATGAAATATTTCATTTTGTTGTCAATTTTACTGGACACATATTTGTTACACATTTCACTCAACATCTCAGATTATTTATTCATTAACAACTCTATTATTTATTATTCTTTGGTAAACGCCAAGATAAAAGTGAAGTATGGCTATATTCCGAATTCAACTGGTCAGTACTGTCAGTTGATCCACTGACTCTGCTGAAAATCTGTGTTCCGAAATATGAAATCAAAAATTCACTACTGTAATTCGGGACACGTTTTCATGGTTTTCATCAGTAGTAGTTTCTCGTTTATCTGAACAAGATGTTTAGCCTCCTACTTGTTATAAATTTTGGATATTTAATATTTAACATGGAAGAGAAATCGATTCTTGTATATCCTCTATAGTTTCTACGATTGTTGACGATGGCGATTCAAGCTCGAGTGATGAAAAATACTTGGACATTTTGTTGCCATAAATTTCTCATGATGCACCAGATTGAGAATTGAGATTCATGAAAATCGCAATATGCCTTAATAATGATGAATTTCAGGAGACATTCCAGGTTTATTTAGTTTATTTAGCCAATGGTGCTCCTTGCCTTAGCTGCTCTACTACTTATTCATACTCCAGGTATTTTCTGATATTGAGAATCATTTCATTAACAACGGAAATGAATGTTACATTCCTTCCCCCTCTAAAATATGACAGTTCACTGAAGCCACACTACCTTTCGATACTCAGCAATTCCAGCAGAATGTTGAGTCGAAATATTTGGAATGAATAGTATGTCTGCTGACAAGCATCTGTCACTTCCAGTGAATTTTTTGATTTCGGAATGGAAAATCAGCAGATTCAGTACTGTCAGTTGAATTCGGAATATAGCCTATGATGGTTGCAGTAGAAAGTAGGAATATATTTCATTTGAGTGTTGAAAATCGATCCAGACATGACTATATGTTCATACAAGAATTGTAAAAGCTATGACCCTTTCCTGAAGTGAAAAGTGACCCAAAGAAATGTCTTGAGTTGATAAAATTGAGTGGAAACAAAAAATTCATAGTTGAGACCAGAAATAAAAACTAAACAAATATTGGAAAACAACAATAATAATGGTATATTGGTTAACCAGCACGGAATGATAGTGATTTCCTATGAGAATGAGTAGGAAATTTGCATTCCATGCAAGTTATACACTATAATTTTTTACGCCTATAATAGATAACAGTGGCATTTTCGATTTCTTTGTCTTGCAGCCATCTGATTTCCTGTCAAGTAATGCTCATCTATTAGACAGAGCTGTCATTGCTCAAAATTTGACATTCCATGGGCGATGAGTTTTTTTTTATACAGAGTGGGCCTTTGAAAACGAAACAGAGGCTCTGTAGGTCGCCAAAACCGGATTATGAAAAGAATCTGAAACACGTCAACTACGTTTTCGAGGGGGACATCGTCCTACAATATTTTCAGCCCTGCGGCGTTGCCGCTGCTAACGAAAAGAAGCAACAACTTTGTTATTTCAAATGGAACACCTTGTATTTCATTGCATTTTTAGATTCTCCCCGAAGAGCTGATTTCATCAATGCATCACACTTGGGGTCTAGCTGTAATGGTTTCAGGGATATAAAGTGTTCAAAATCGAGATTTTTCAACTTTGACATTTTTTTGTGTCGAAACTATTCATTATTGGTCGAAACGGCTCTCATGTCCCTATCTCAACTTGTGATTTACTATCTACTGACATTTAATTGGAACAGATACAGGGTGATCAGAATTCTGAATCTTGAACCACCCTGTATTTGTTTCAAATAAATGTCAGTAGATAGTAAATCACAAGTTGAGATCGGGACATGAGAGCCGTTTTGACCAATAATGAATAGTTTCGACACAAAAAAATGTTAAAGTTGAAAAATCTCGATTTTGAAAACTTTATATCCCTGAAACCATTACAGCTAGACCCTAAGTGTGATGCATTGATGAAATCAGCTCTTCGGGGAGAATCTAAAAATGCAATAAAATACAAGGTGTTCCATTTGAAATAACAAAGTTGTTGCTTCTTGTCTTTAGAAGCGGCAACGCCGCAGGGCTGAAAATATTTTAGAAATATGTCCCCCTCGAAAATGTAGTTGACCTGTTTCAGTTTTTTTTGATAATCCGGTTTTGGCGACCTACAGAGCCTCTGTTTCGTTTTCAAAGGCCCACTCTGTATAATAACACAATGGAGTCGTTGTGATATCATATATGGAAATAAAATTGATGACATACAAAGTACCTCATTGATGTATTGAACACAGTAAAACAAGAGTAATCTTGTGTTATAGCCATAGAGAAAATATCAAACCTTTATTCAAATTGACACCAATAGTTCAAGGATAGCTGGAAATACGAAAATATATTCAAACATAACAATGTTTACTATAGCACTAGATAAATAAATAAACAACAATGAATATTATAGAGACCTAATAACAACTGACGTTATTGTCTAAGAGCCCGCTGCAAATTTGACCATCATCTGATAACGAAAGGCATGAAAAAACATTGTATTCTATGGAACGGCACCTGTGCCGATCTCTTTTCTGAGCGAAATTATTGAAAAATTGCACTTTCCTGTGCCATCCGATGCCAGTTGAATGGTAGATCTCAAAAACTTACCTGTATCATCCCTTAATCTGAGACGAATCCACGGCACATCGATGTATTAGCTGCCATTATTCCGGGCATCCTTCCGTCATGTGATAACGAGTTGGAACAAATAGCAAATGGAAGGGGATAATGTTCCCTTTGCCAATATCCGAACGTGCCGTGAATCAAACTGATCTAAGTTAGTGGCAGAGCGTCAATATTTCAGAGAATATTTCGCCCCTCTCTAAAGATAATATCCGATGGACCAGTATGAAACTCAACATGTGGATTAGAATACTTATAGTGCGAGCACCACATGAGTTTTACACTGGTTCATCGGATATTATCTTTAGACGGGGGCGAAATATTCTCGTACATATTGACTCTCTGCCACAACTTAGATCAGTTTGAGTTGGGCACGTTTGAATATTCGCAAAGGGGACATGATCCCCTTTCATTTGCTATTTGTTCCAACTCGTTATCACATGACGGAAGGATGTCCGGAATAACGGCAGCAAATAAATCACTGTGCTGTGGATTTGGCGCAGATTGAGGAGTGGCACAGGTAGGTTTTTGAGATCTACCATTAAATTGGTATCTGATGACATAATCCTTCCCTCGTTATCAAATCGTGGAATTGAGTGCACATTGCTGCTCAGGAAAGTGCCGATTTATAACATTTCGTTATCAGATGATTACCATTACAAGGATTCGAAGAGTTCTTGTTATGTCGAGAGTAACCAGACAATCCAATATTTATATAGATACAACAGTTTATTATAGGCTTGTACGTTTCTTATGGGAGTTCCTTTATTCATCATTCCTTGATCAGTATTCATAGCTCTATGTCAACAAATGATTCAATTAAATTTATGCTCATAAAACCCTCTTGGTTCCAACTCACTGATATACCTTTCTACTGGTGACACTTTTCAAAGTATTGACACAGGTATATTGACATAACCATAGTAGTCCATTGGCTACCCAAAATTTTGGTATAATTTGGGGGTACTAATTTTCCTCTATACGGTAGTTATATATGTACATAGAGATCTCTAAAAACCATGATTGCCATCTGAAAGTGGTAGCTAATAGAAATGGCGGCCAATACAAGATGGCGGATGTTGACTTTATAGAAACGGTCATATCTCTGGAAATAATTTTCCGATTTCAATTTTCTTAGGCTCAAATGAAAGTTCTCATTGTACTCTATTTTTGAATTTCCATAGAGTTTCTTGATATTTGCAGTCATTAACTGACAAAACATGAAAAATTGTTTTTTTTTAAACTTCGAAATAATTGATTCATTGAAAGTTACTCAAAAACTGAGATTCTTGGAAAAAATATGTTCAAATCAATAAATCAGTCTATGCAATTGTTGATATTTGCGATATCAAGAGTTTTTTGAGTATTTCAATATACGCTACAATCAATCGGGTAATGAGGTAATTGATGAATAAACAGTATACAGTGAGAGTAAACAGATTTTTCTATTGAAATGAGATATAACGCTGAAAAATCATTAAAATATATGTTACAGAAAAAGAAATCTTGAACATAACAAATTTTCCATAGTTTGGTATTATTCCGATAGTTTTATTCATCATCTTCTTCATCATCATCACTTCCACAACTGTTATAAGAGTCATAAACTTCTTCTCTACATTCCTCAGGGTCACTCATGTTTTCACACGTTGCCAGCTTACAAGCGTCGGTACATTTCAACTGATTTAC